CGTGTTGCTTGAGATCAAATGATTAAAAAAAAGGAAATATTAGTTCCTTTGTCAGGATGCTCTCTTTGCACAAAATTTGTCTCACTATTCATTTAGAGATTCTTGATAAAATACAAAGAAGAATCTGCAATAATAATGTTCTTGATTTGGCATCTCAGCTTTAATCACTTTCTCGCCATCATAATTTTTTTTTTTTTTGTAAGGTCTTCATGAACACTTGGGAGTTCATATATTATGGGCTCTTGAATAAGGTAAGACAATTATAATGGATCTTTACTGTCAAGAATGAATGAAAATAAGTTTTACACCACAATGTCCTAATTGTGGTCAATAGTGTATCTTTCTTAAGAATGACAAAATAAACTCGGTAAAATAAATTCAGATGAAAATGAAATCATAAGGTCAGCATATTTTTTTATTTTACATTGTGAACATTTGGATTTAACCAGTTCATTAGCAAGGACACATGGCACAGTGGCATTAGTTAAATCCAGAAACAGGACCCAAAGAGTGTGAGTTCAATACCTGGTTAAGGCAGTGGAGAACTTGGAGAGGGGAATTAACAGGAGATAACTGATAACTGACATCCATTATACATGGCATGTGGAACTAGAACAGTCTACCTCACCAAGCAAGGGTTCAGTTCAACATTCCAACCACCTGAAGAAGGCAGGAGCGTACAACAGCTGAAACATTGTTATAACTATGACAACAAAGATGAGGACAATAGTCTGAATAATGTAAATAGTGTACATAAAAAAACACCTCATCTCAGAAATATAGACAGATATAGATATTCTTTTTTGTTTTTTTAAAAACACATAGGAGAACAATTCAGCACAATCAGAAATAAAAAAAACAGTTTCATTTTTGTCATTCCTAATAAAGATAATTATATTCTTCATAAACAAATTTAAAATTTGAATGTTTAGCCCAGTGTTTCTCAACCTTTTTAGGCAACATCACACCTAGGAGCAAATGAAAATATCACAGCACACTTAGTAAAATTTTTAAAGGGTATATATTTAAATGTTATGAAATAAAACCAAATTTAAAAAAAAAATATACCCATAAATATGAACTTTATTTCAATGTTTCTATTCAACTATTTGTGCGGCTTATTAAGTGTGAAACTTATGCCTGATATTTTTTCGTGATTTCTTCAATGCTTCATTGAATGTGCAATAAGCAGACCCTTATTTCTTCTTCAGTTTTTCTTGCTTCTTATTTTTGGTGTTATTTAAGGTTGGGAATCCTAATTCACATAAATAAGAAGTAGAAAATTGCAATAAAACTGGTAAAGCCTTTGTAGCTAATGTGGATATTGTATTGAAATTCAAAATGCATCAATGGTTTCCTTCAAATGTTTTATTTTGAGCCCTTAATCCCTCGAAATAATTAAATGGTTTTTAAAAAGTTAAATTGAAAAATTAAAAATACATATTAAAAAATGAATATTAAAACAAAGTATTTAAAATAAAATAATTGAAGAATGGTGAAAAAAATTATTCGAAAAAACGTTTAATATTTATTCATTTATTCAAATACTAATGCTGTAACATTACTACTTCCACATACACATATATATGTATGCCATGACAATATTTCACAGCACACTTAAGAGTACCATGCGACACACTGATGGAATATTCCATTCCTACCTGTAACCCCTCTAGGATAATGCATTTTTCATGCATAATCACTTCTTAACCAATCAGCATCTTAGTTTCAGCAAATTTCCGCTCAACGCCTTAGAGTTGATTTTGAGACCACAAACTCAATAAATAGAAACATTTCGATTCGATTCAAACAGTCAGAACTTCAACCCTGGAGAGATGCTAAACAAATCCATGCTAGCCAAAACTTTGACCTAACTACATTTTTTCGTGTGCTAATTCTTCTAACTCGACAAACAGCACTTCACTCTATCAGGAACATTACTTACAACATACTAAAGAAAGTGAATTGACTCACTACTAAACAGTATTTGTAAATCTCAATCTAACATCAAGACAACAGCTAAAGGTACACAACTCTTACAAACTGTGAACAATAACTTTAATAAATGCACACATACACACTAGTGACTGAACTCCCACAAAAGACATTTTGTAATATGATAAAACATCTTGTTTAATTTCATACACAAATCCTAGCCACAAGACTACACACATTGAAACTCAGCATAATCCTTCTACATATTTTATTATAACTGGTCACACTTGATCAGCAATATCTATCTTGATTGTGTATGTTCAATTGATATAAAATGAATGTTATTTGTTAAACCTTTAATCCTGTTGTCCTCATTTTTGATTCCTTCTGAATGATTTTACCTTCAATGTTCTTATTTTTATATTTGTTGTGGATGAATGTCTTGTGAACACCTACATTTCTAAGACTTCTGATAACCTAACCTTCTGATACACAAAATACATTCGCCAATCTGCAACATTAGTGTGTCACGACACAGCACTTGAGAATCACTGGTTTATCCCATTTATTACATTTGAAGGATTTATTCCATTTTTAAAAATGTAACCTTACTTTACTAACAGCCTAAGAGAAGGGAAAATATAGTAAATATATATACAAATTAGAGAACTTACAATAGAGTAAAAACTCTTAAGCTATAAACTGAAGTGCATTAAGCCCGAGAATGCTTTAATTTGTATATAAAAATTATAGAAAAGTTCAGTATAATAGTAAAATTATATTTTACTATTATACTGAAGTAGTAAATGAATATAAGTATCCAAATTAAAAATAAAATAATCCAAAAATAAGTATTTTCTTAACCCTCCATTATTACAGTTGGGCATTGTCATAACATTAGTACCATGAGGATTTCAAACATCTCATTTAAAATATGAATATATCATTTAGCTCTTAATTTTGTAAACTGGCTTTTTCCTTAAATCCAGAAAAAAAGAAGTAATATAAACATATTAAATATATTCATATATGTTTTTATATCAAGTATATGGAATATAAAAAGGAATATATCCACAATAAATGACAAAGATGAAGTATTTATTATATGATTTATTATGATGGATTATGATTTATGATATGATTTATTATAATAAAGCATAATAAATCATATAATAAATCATTATATATTTTATTATGCTGTATTATAAGATATTTTATGATTCATTATATGATTTATTGATTTATTATGATGATAGTATAAGTCCATAAAAATACAATTTCTATAAATAAAAAAAGCAGAAATTAAATATGAAAACTTATTTTTCAAATGTATTTCTCCATATAGTAAAGAATGCTGATTTAAAAAAGAAAAGAAAAAAAGAACATATTTACATAAAAAAAATCAATTTGTCGACAGGAGAAACAAAAAAAGCAAGAAAAACAAGAATCAACTGACTGTTTATCTCAAGAACTGACAATAACACAAAAGGTGTCGTTCTGCTTGTCACTGTTTACAGACTACACTGAGAGCTGATATAACTTCGATGCTATCACAGGTAGTGAACAACTGGTGCAAAGACTTGTTTCAAACTGGCCAGACTTTAACAATGAGCATCATCTAATAATTTGTTTTGTATTCAAAAAGATGGTAGGTAACTAAATGTAGGAGTGAGAAATGGCACTAAGATATTTAGAGGGAAATATTTTGAGAATAATTTAGAAATATATGAGAAAGCATTTTCTACGTGATAATAATGTCTATTTCATTAACCCTCTGTTAGCACTATGCGGCATTGTCAAAGCATTAGTACTGTAAATCTCAACTCATTTAAAATATTGTAGATATATCATTTAGTTCTTAATTTTCCTGTTATATATAGTGATTTTTCTGGTTTTTATAGGATAAATAAAAATGAAAAAATTCTAAATAAAAGGTTTTATTTTGAGAAATCAAATTAAAAGTCTAATATTAGAAATTAATTTTAAGTTTCAAAAATTAAAATATACAAAGATAGATTTATTTTTATTACCAGTAAACAAATAAAACTGCTTGCAATTTGAATAAATATCATTAAAACTAGAAATTCATTGAGTTAATTTCAGAAAGATACTTGACAAATCAAGAAAATTTAACTTGCTAAATATTAAGGAAAATCATTAAAAATGAAAAAAACAAAAGGTTTTATTTAGAAAAAGTAAATTAAAAGTCCAATATTAAAATTGAATTTTTAAATTTTAGAAATTCAAATATCTAAAAATAGGTTCCATTTTATTTTCAGCCTGATATTTAAAACACTATGTAATTAATCTAACTCCTTTTCAATTGTTTTTCTGATTTCAAACCATGAACAAGAAGCCTACTGTGATTTTTACATACATTTCAATAACAGTTATTAAGACAGTCTTTATGTTAAGGTTACTGCTTGTAATTCACAAAATATAATGACTAAAACCAGAAACTCCTTGACAGAGTTATTCAGAAAGCTATTAACTAGTTAGGAAAATTTGACTACCATACTTTCTGGCTTACAAGACACTACTGCTTGGAAGAGATACCCTAATATTGGAAAGACATTTTTAAGAAAAAAAAAAGTCATTCTCATACAACAACACATTCACCATGCATCCCTCACATACTAGCACTACATATTCTTTACATTAATCACTCATCCGATTTTGTTTGTATAACAAAGATATACTAGTCAAGAGCTGAAAGGCTCCCACTGCTGCTAGTAAACAGAGCATATTTAAGTTTATGGCTTGGCTCCAGGAAGGTTTATAGCTAAGTACTGATGTTAAAGCCTATAAAAGGCCGAATTAGATAGTTAGCTAATATTATAATGTAGTGACTCAACATACAAATCCAGTCAAGCCAGTTGGGTAACCATCCAAGCTTACTTGAGCCTAGGTATTGCCTTACATTCATCTTTTCAGGGTATTTTTTAGGAAAAAAATGCATCTTGTAAGCCGGAAAATACAGTAAATATTAAGGAAAATCCTTTTTGGTGGTGTGTCCAAACATTTGATGGTATTAACGGAGTGTTAAAAACAAATAATAAATAAATTCAAAAGTTTACACTTACCTGATACACACCATCTGCCTGGAATTTTGTCCTCAAATTCTGATCGCCAGCTAATTCTTCAGCTGGATGGGGTCCTCTTCGGGATCGTCTGGAGAGACTCCTGGTCAATTCAGGGTCATTTGATTGGGCAACGATATCATCAGGCCAATAAGTAGCCTGTTGGGATGGACACATGTAGTTTCCATGTTCTGTAACACATTTACAAGGGGGATTAGTGCTATCACTGTGCTGGTCATTTCTTCTGTCCCTGAATCGAATAATGCAGATAGAAATAGCAGCTGTAATTGGCACAGAAAGTATAACTGCAACTACAACAATGACCACCATTATATAGAGTTGTATTTTCTCCTCGGATTTCATGTGGACCATCTTGGTCATTTCAAACGTCTTGTTGCTAACAGTTAATGTCAAAGACAAATTTGTTGTTGCAGACAGAACTGGATCACCACTGTCTTTGACAACAAAAGCCAACTCATATGAGCCAGCATCTTGTTGAGTGACAACACGAGTGAATGACAGGAGACCCGTATAATGGTTGAGATTAAATATTTGTTCTTCATTTCCTGCAATTATTTCATACCGGAGAAAAGCGTTCTCTCGACTGTCACTGTCAGAGGCCCTCAGGGTAGTGATATTATTTGTGTGATGGGGATAATAGACAAAATCCATTGTATAAGGGTTAATACTTGGGAAAGTAAAGTATGGAGCATTATCATTTTCATCCCTGACTTCAATGATAATATTTGCTGTGCTGTTTAAAGAAGGTATTCCATTATCTTTTACAAGCACACGGAATCGGTAAACGTTTTGGAATTCATAATCCAAAGACATAACTGTTGAGATGACTCCAGTATTGGAAATCTGAAAAGGCAAAAAGTGTTTTCTGTCAGAAAGTAAGGAATATGTTAGTTTTCCGCCAGGTTTCAAGTCTGGATCTGTTGCATTGATGGAACCAACAATAAAATTTGGCTTCTGGTTTTCGTAAATCCAGAATTTAAATGTCTCTTTCAGGAGCTGAGGTTGGACATCATTAACGTCTATCACCTGAATGGAGAACTTGCTTTCACTATGCAAGGGCGGAGATCCTTTGTCCTGGCAGACAATAGTCAGCTCATGGTGGTCCTCTGTTTCTCTGTCCAGTGGTTTTTTAACAATCACTTTCCATTCTTTTTTACCAAGGCTTTGGAGCTGAAATTTGCTGTGATGTAAGTTGCAACTGACCTGTCCATTTTGGTCGAGGTCATAATCAGACACCATCACATAAGCGATAAAGCTTCCTACATTGACATCTTCAGAAATTGTTGCAGTGTTCTTTGTTGAGGCAGAAACAAAGTTCACATTTATAATTGGAGCATTGTTTTGTTGGTTGATTACATTTACTTGAACCTTTGCTGTTGAACTTAATGGGAGATTTCCTCCATCTGTGGCTTTTACATACAATCTGTATGTTAGCTTTTGCCTGACTGTAAACCTCTTGTGCAAAAATATCTCACCAGTTTCTTCATTCAAACGAAATGTATCCTGCGCTTCCTCAGACGTTTTTGAACTGAAATGATAAGAAACTTTACCATTTTTCCCAGCATCAGAATCCCTTGCAGACAGGATGGCCACAGGTGTGGCTTCATCATGTTCATATTTTATAGAAACATTGTAGACATTCTGCGAGAAGACTGGTGCATTGTCGTTGACATCTGTGACAGAAATATGAACATCTAAAATGCTTTGCTTTGGAGGAGAGCCTCCATCTTTGGCAACAACTTGAATTGTATAGGAATCTTTTGTTTCTCTATCAAGTGTGTCTTCAAGTATAATGCTCAAATCAAATGTCTCATCAACACTCTTGGAGACAGACAAGGTAAATGGTTCATTCATATCTTTCTTTAACTGGTAGGTGATCTGCGAATTGCGTACACCAACATCACGATCTACTGCATTTGGTATTGACACTTTGGTGCCTTTTTTGTCGCCCTCAGAAAACTGGATGTTTTCTTGTTTGACAGGAAATTCTGGTTGATAGTCATTGACGTCTTGAATAACAACCTTGACCTTCAAGATTTTCATGAAGGTCTCAGCATGTCGAACGGCTATTTTCACTATCTGAAAGCATTCTGGGTTGTGTCCGCATAGTGATTCTGCATTTAGAGTTTGAGCAGTATAGAGTTTTCCTGTTTTTTTGGCAATCCGGAACCACTGAGAATTGCTGGAATCATCCTGTTGCAACTGGGTGAACTGAATTTGAGTTCTGTCTTGGGGAAGAACACTGTCCATCAAGTGAGAGTCAGAGGCTACATCCCCAACTAAGGTTCCAGGGCTTTTGCCTTCTTCTAAATAATAGGTGAGGTCCACACACACATATTGTGAGATAATAGAAAGAAATAAACAAAGGTGAAGCCATGGGCTCCACGGATGGATTCTGTGAGGATGGAATGTTGAAGTCATATTTCTCTGTTTATATCACAAATGGCACTGAAATTTAAGAGGAACAAAAGATTAATTGTAGTGAAAGAGAAACAGACAAAATGTTTGAGGAGGAATAAAGAAGAATAGTAAAGTGCATCATATGCTAGGCTATGGAGACCTTCTTAGTATGCCTAGCATAGAAATAAATACAATATGGAGGCTGATAATAAAGAAAGAAAGACAAATAACAGCAGGTCTTCAACTAGAGCAGCAGCAATCAAATCATGGGCAACAATCAAAACAAGACAGACAGCAGTAGCAGCTGCAAACTAATCAGCAAGCAAATTAAGTTTAAAGTTCCAAGTTCATGACAAAAAAAATTATCCAAGTGGCTAAAAGTTTTGGTCTGTGAATTTGGTGACATAGTGGTTGTGAGTTCAATCCCTAGGTTTTGCACTTAGTGGAAATGGGTGAGCAATAACTGGACAGTAGTAAATAAAATAAAAACTAGATAATACCCCTAAACATGAGCAGTGAAACGAGAACAGTCCAAATAAAGGGTTCAGTTCAGAATTCCCTGTAGGTTACTCTGATTAATATAGGAGGACATGAGGGCACAACAGCCAGAACGTTGTGATAAAAACAACAAAGACGAGAATAAAATATAAATAATCTAAATAATGGATCATCTTTATTAACTTTATTCTTTACAGAATATTGAAATTAGTACATACAACAATGGTTCATGATGATGTGGCTTAAAAAAAGTTCCCTTACTTATCCACTGGGATTCCTCACCAAGCTATGTGACACTTACACTTTCCCCTTTGCCTCTTTTTTCACACATACAGGTGAAGAAATCACATTTCTTTTCATCTTAACAAACAGCTACAAACAAAGACTGTCACAACTCATGCTAAGAAAAATTCAGTTGTAAAAAAGACAAAAATAAAATTATTTTATATTTTTATATTTAAACACCTTTCTTGATTTTTCTTTGTTGTGGGTTGATTCAAATCTGCAACATATTGTTAAAAATGTAAAATGTTTTATGAAAATCAACTAATTAATAAAGTTATTAACAATTTAAATAGGGAGTTTCTTTCCACCCAGTCTGTATATCTGCTAACTTCATTTTTGTAGTCAAAATAAACAGCTATTTTTTAAATTGGATTTTTTGATCAGACATTATTACTGGAAAAGGTATTTTGGGGAGTACATGCATTCGTGTTGACATCCTTACTGTTTATTTTCTTAAACAGTGAAAATTTATACCAACTGACTTGTAGAGTTAACCCCACTTACTTTCCTAACTAAAAAAACTGCCATTAGGGGATGTTTGCTGAACCTATAAATACACTGTAATATTTTCTATCATTCTCTTTATCCTATTTTTCTTAGACACACTAGGATATAGGTCTATTGTGAAAACATGTTTCCCACTGGGAAACACACACACAAATGCACGCACACACATGTGCACATGCAACTTCATTTTACTTCATTCACTCTAGGCCTTCTACACACATTTTACATACATAAACAATTCACTAGTCTTTAAATATTTTCATGCAATTTCATTGTTTTGTCACATACATACAATATCATTGTCTTTGTCGCTTACAACAATGTAACATTTTGTATTTTTAATGATACATTATTGTTTTTTTGTATATGTATATATTGGTTTTAGTTGTTTCTTTGTGTTTTTTATTACCCAGACACACATGGAAGTCTACCATTTTTTATGGGATAAGCATTCCAGGACACGTGTTTCCCAACTCAAACATCAACGTACATGCTACCTGCAAAATACTAAAGAAAATTAAGTGCTATTTTGGTTTGTTATCTAAAGGAAAAATGTATCTACACTGAACAAATTTTATTTCAGAATGATATCTACAGAGTAAGACATATTATAAAATATATATATAACATAAAGAAAATGTGATTAAAATAATAAAAAAATTTTTCTTTTACTTATATTCTAGCAATAAACAGCATGTATATCGACTAAAATGTCTACACCATACAAATTTTAATTTGGAATATCTACATAGTTAAACTTAATAATATATATATAACATAAAGAAAATGTAATTAAAATATTGAAAAAATTTCTGTTAATATTATTCTAGCTATAAACAGCATGTACATCAGCTAAAAATAGATCGCATACCAAAGTAGATTCATGACATGTAGATAACAAGCCAAAGTAGCACTGAAAAATATGTTTCCCAACAGGAATCTAACCTACATTCTCTTTTTCCATCAGGAATGCCATTCTTCTAGTGAATATATGAAGTTACCAATTTGGTCACAGCAGACCATCATGATTAATCAGATCTAAACCCAGTTGATATTAATTTAACTGTTTAAGAAAATAAAAAAACAGAGATGTCAATTCAAACACGTGTACATACTAAAAATAAGAATAATTAATGAGTGTATTTGCAATTATGGTGTTTTTTTCCCTTAATGACATGTGAGCTGCGTATATTAAAAAGAATGTTGGAATAATGTATAGACAAAACTTTTCTTTGAGGAAAGAGTGGTTTACTTTTATAAGCAAAAATTAGTACGGACATTATTTGAAAAATGAAACTTTGAAAAGTGTTTTTATATTTAACTGGACATAAAATGGTTGATCAGTTTTCTATTGTTATTAACTAATAAGATGATAGTTCTCATATTTATTACATAGTACAGTAATAACTGGAAAAATATATCTAAAGACTTACATATAAAAACCATTTAAGTAAGGACTTATCTTTTGGAATAGTGAAAAATGCCTAAGTAAAGTATTAAGAAACAAAAAATTGTTAAACACAAAGAAAAGATCTGTTAATATTTTTTAGATGAGGTATTGTAACTACACTATTTACATTGTTTGGACTGTTGTCAGCATCTTTATTGTCATGTTCACAATATTTAGGCCATTGTATGCTCCAGCCTTCTTCAAAAAGAAAAGAGTGCTGAAATGCTATGTAATATCAATTGTCTTATATGGTATTGAATTCTGGGATATTTCATCACAGATGAAGAGAAAACAAGGCATTAGAGATGCAGTTCTACAGGAGGGTGCTAAGAATACCATGTATGGAACATGTATGCAAGAAGGAATTTTAAAGGAAAATGGAAGCAAAAAGGACAATTATACATAACATCAGAAGGAGACAGCACATAATAAAAAAAGAAAGCTGAAAAATTTAACACTCACAAGACATATTGAAAGTAAAAGGGACAGAGGAAAACAGTGAGTAATCTACCTAACAAACTCGTATAATTATTTTTTAGTTATTTCACACCATGCAAGGCAGTAAATTCACTATGACACAAGGGGTTACTGAGTATGAAAGAATAAGAAAAAAGAAACATTATTAAGGAGTGAGAACAATAAAAGAAGAGGAATCTAGAAAACAGTAGATAACGATTGACATTGCATTTAACTTTCTGAAATCAAAGTTGGTTGGAAAGCAAGAAGCCAGAAGAGAGTTTCACAAGTGAGAAGGTCAAGAAAAGAAACTGTTAGCATAGAACAGGGTTACATCCAACCAATTCAACTGTAAATTAATGAGGCCTTGTTGCTAATCGAGTATTGTGCTTAAATTCATAAAGTCTAGGTACCATAGTTGAGAGTTCATCCAAACAATTACCATGAAAATGTTTATAGACAAGGCCCAGGGAAGTTAGATTATGGCAGTGGGAAAGTAACTGGAGCTGAGATGCCAGGTCAGAACCAATAATATTGCTGATTCTTCTTTGGATTTTATCAAGAATCTGTAAATATATAGCAGGAGAACCAGACAATATATGGCAGTAATATTGGAAGCATCGGCAGATCAGGGAAAGGGAGGGATAGTAATAGTACAAACATTGCTGCAAACAACAGGAAATTGTGAAGAGCTATGATCGCCCATGTACTGAAGGGATACATCACATAGAAGAAGATATTTACAGACTCACATGTGAAAATGTAATCATAGTACAGACTTAAAATATCAAATTAATATATTGTAATTTTTTAAAGTTATGGTTAGTTTCTGAAGTGAAGCTTGGATTGATTTTAAGTAAACTGAAATTTTAACTTTATACAAACTGTAAGAAGAAATCTAAACTTAATTAGGTTTTGGAGGAAATGTATTTGGTACAGTAACACTTAATCTATCAAAGCAAAACAAAAATTTTCTTGATTTGAAAACACTTAGAAAATGATATATGATCCAAGTGGAATCAGAAACATTGTTTTTTTAGAAATCCCAGAAAATATATATATAAAAGGAAAAGGAAGTGAAGTTTAAATCACAGTAAATAATTCTTAAAAGTGTGTAAGGTGAACATGGTAGCATCTATGAACTTGTTGAAAAATAGTATACATCGGTGTGAAGATTATAACATATTGGAACCAATGTGCTGAAAAGCTAAAGAATAATAGTAGCTACAAAGGGCTTCCCTAGTGATGTCGATATGAAGCTGGTAATTAGGATTTCCCATAGAGTGTTGAAAATTAAGTTATCACTCAAAATCTGAGAATTTTCAAACTGACAAAATATTAATACTGCAACTATTTGGATAGGAGGGAAAGATAAGAGTTAACTGTAAACTTGAACAGGTTAAGATTGTAGTGATTGGGGAAACATACTTTTGGGAGCCTTTGATGCTTGCCTCTAAGATATTTTTACTATAAAGGTGGCAAAATTTGGAGAAAAACATTTAACGTATGGTATCTAAGCAGATCTGAATCTAATGGTAATAGTAATAGTAATGACAGTATTAGCTGTTTCCTTGTAAGGAAATGTTTGGAATTCATTGACTCAGAGCCAGTATTGCTTTCAGTTGAAATTTATAAAATCTTTCTCTTAAAACAATTTTTCAGGAAAGCACTTTTTGCCAATCCCATAGCTGTTATTGATCTTTCTCAGTATAGCTGGGGGTTTCCTCCTTAACCTTTTATTTGTAGTGGTGTGGAATGTTAACATCTTGATTACTTTCTCTTAAAGTTCAAGTTGCTATCCATTATAGCTGTTGCTGCTGTTGGTAGTCTTCAAGTGATGTACTTTCTATTATTTGGTGCAGCTCTTTGTTGTGATTCTGTAGCAGCAGTCCACAATGTTTAAAGAAGGTTGGTCTTTGCCAAGACCTTCAGGCTTCACTTGCTCAAAGCCTTTTTTAACCTTTGATCTTAGAAAGCAGTTGTGTACAGCTGAGAGTTTAGAGCAAATCTTTATGTCATAAGTTTATGAAAAAATCTTTAAAAAAATAAATAAAAATAAAATTATTTCATTACTTGATTATTTCAATTATACACACCTGTCTGTTTACAAAAAAACAACACACAATCAGCTAGTTCATTGTACTGGAATGGCTGGTTGAGATAAACTTAACTCACCATCCCAGTAAAAGCATTTCTGTTCTTGTGATATGGTAATACTTTGTTGAGAGGTGAACATAGACATGCATAATTGTTTGAAAGAAACCACTACTCAGAAGAAATTGATATGGCAAGACAAACTTGCTAACCATTACGTCAAAGTGCCCTTTTTCTAAGCATAGCAAAACGACAAACATTGCTGAGAGCTACAAAAGACAGGAAATTGTGGAGAGTCATGATCGCCACTGTCCTGAAGAGACAGGGCACATAGAACAACAACAAAAAAAGTACAAAACAAAGATGAGAGTACTAGTTTGAATAATTCAAAGAAAAATTACAAACATCATGCATTAAATTTTTTTTTTACTGTAAGGTTCACCCTGTACAAGACCCAGGGACCACTCAAGGTAGAGGGTTACATTAGGGAGTATTTTATACAGATAGGTGAGGAAGATAACAGTTAACTCGAACATGTTACGATTGTAGTGATCAGGGAACACAGATCAGTTGTTCACAGAAAGAATCTGCTTGAGTGGAACTTACTTCTTGACAATGGAATATGGAGGAAGTGTGGGTGGTTTGCTACAATGTTGTAATATAGCAGGTCCAAGATGTGATGGTTAGACCAGGCAGAAACAAGGAATATAGTTTGTCTGAGCATTTTCCATATCATAAATACATGACTCTGTTCATTGTTCCCATTTTATTGAAGTCAAAGGCAAAAATAAAACCTTTGAATTGTATGAGGAAAAATATAGCAGCTGAAGGCTATTACTTTAATCTACAGAAAAAACAAAATCAACTGGATCTCAATTAGATTTAGAAAACAGTTTCAAATTAAGATGGTTCACTGATGAGTTTTTTTTGTGAGGAAAGGTATGAACTTCAATTTACTTCTCCTTGTCATCTAGGTGCAGTTGTTTTTCATGAGCCTGGCAAAATGAGATTTGCAAAAAGATACTGAAGGAGATTATACAGAAGTCTCATTAGATGGCAATTTTATTTCCCTGGTGTATTCAGGTCATCATTAAAATCATGGGAGAGTAAAATTCACAAAATGTATGATCTGTATTTCAATATGCCTACACCCAAACAAAATAAAAAAGAAACATTATTTACAGTTCTAGAAAACCGGAAGTCAAAATGGCTACAATTGAAAGGGGAAAAAGAGAAAAAGAGAGAGTAGGTAAAGTAATAAGATGGCAAAAAGGACAAATAACCACAACATTCTACATGTACATACATGCATGCAGATAGGCACACACGTGAATGTACACATGCACACACACATACATTATGAAAAAATAAAACTAATGAAACATGCATATAAAAAAGAAAAATTAAGAAGTATAAGCAGTCAATTGCTACTCTACTCTTACTTTTTGGACTTTTATATAGTCTATGCCTTACCAATGTTGATTAAGCAGTCATTTACATATCCCTCCACATTTCTTATGAAATTTTTCTGTTTCTTATTACTTTGCTTAGTTTTTGGAAGGCAACTTTTGCTGTCCCAATTCACCTTAGATTTCAATGTCACACTTTCCATCAAGAATTTTAAGCTAAAAAATTAGATCTCATGTTTCATTTAATATCCCAGTAAGTAGCTTTGTAAAAATTTCATCAAGAATATTCTGTTTTTTGACATATAAGAAAGCTGATATACTCACAGACAGAAATGTAATTTTATATATCAAATGCAAGTTTATGGACCTCAAAAATGTAACCCAATATCTCATTATTAAGATAGGATTGTACATATTAATTTTAAAAATATATAAAAAAAAAAAAATTCATTAATTTTAATTCTCCTTTTTTAAAATCCTAAATTTTTCCATTTCCCATTTAGCAATTTATTTTCCTCTTTCAGCACTGAATTACATTCCTCATCAACGAAGAAGAGAATAAATTGAAATGTTAAAGGTTAAAATGGTTGATGGGGATTTTCAGACTATCACTCAATTGCTACAATTATGCGAAACTCAGTTTTTCGAAACAACTGGCGACCAGCATCATTTGCATTCAAGAATGTTAAATACTTTAAAAATTAAAAATAAAATAAAATGAAATACAAAACAAATAGAGAAAATAAAATGAGAGACAAAACAAATAAAAATAAGATAATTTTTCCCCAAAATTAAACGAATGGCACTGTAAGATTATGAAAAGTTATTCGGATTGACATTTTTAAAATGTTTTTTTCTTTACTCATTATTTTTTCTTTATTAATTGTAAAACTAAAATAGATGCACTCCTCCCTCCTTTATTTTCCTCCTCCTTCTCGCACACTGTCTACCATTCTCCCTACCTCCATTTTCTTTTCTTTATTTTTTTTGACAAATTCATTAATATTTAATCTATAGAAACACAACTGGTTGTTAGGGAAGTAAAGTTATAGACTGATCCCTATTTCAAAAATTGTTTTTGAACAACAAGAAAGAAAGAAAATTAAAAAAAAACAATAAAAGAAACAAAACAATTTAAATAAATAAATGGAAACACAATACAATACAATGCAAATGCAATAAATTTACAGAACGTTTTAGATCTTTGAGAGGATTGAAGGTTTGCAAGAAATTAGATTTAGGATGCCATTGATTGATTGTGTGTCGACTCTTTTATATAAGGGATGTTTTCAATTTCGACTCCTCCTCTTCCTGCTTTTTTTCCTTCCTCCAACTTCCTTTTACTTTCTACTTCTCCTTTTGCTTCCTCCTCCCTTCTGGTTTACCCTTTTATTATGAGCTCTATTAATTATCATTATTGTTTACATATATATATTTGTGGGTTTTTTTTTTTTTTTTTTTTTTTGGTTTTAGGTCTATCTGGAAACTGACAGATAACTGTGAATTAAACAAGATTTTAGTGAAAGTAAAATCACATATTCATTTTCTTTTCTTTTAAATTCCTTCTCTAAAGTTTTGCTTCTTATAAATCCTTGTAATTAATTCCTCCTTGCATCTTACTTTCTGTTTTTTCTTTTTAATTTTTCATATTCTACTTTTCTTTCCATATTTTATTATTAGTTATTTTCCCTCAACTTCTTTTCTTTCTTTCAATTCTTTCTTTTACTTCTTTATTTTTATCATTGCTCTTTCAGTCAATATTCTCACACCACTCTTTTTCTCAGCCTGTTTTCTTTTGTTTATTGTTCTGTTTTTCTTGTTACTTTTTTTTTTTTTAATCTCTGCATTCTTCTCTTATCCTTGTTCAAAATATGTTTCTACCCTTTGTAACATTTAAATATTTTTCTTCTTTATGTAGCTCTTCTTTTCAATTCATGCCATTTTTTCTCCATTTTGTTTTTGAATCTCCTCTCAAATATCCCACAAAATAATTTATTTCAACTTATCTATTCTGTATTTTTACTCTTTTAATTCTTTCCTCAGTCTTTATCTTCCACTTTTCCTTTTCTTTCTCCCATATTTCTGTTTCCTCTCTTATTCTCCTATACACCTTTTCCTATTCCCTTTTCCTCTCTAACTCTGTGGTACATTTTCCTCTCTTATTCTTTCATAAACTTTTCCTCTCTTATTCTCCTATAAACTTCTTTCTCTTAATTTCCTGTATACTTTTCCTTTCCTATTCACATACACACTTCTCTCTTATTCTTCTAAATACACTTTTTCTCTCTTTTACTCCTAAACACTTTACCTCACTTTTACTCCCATACATTTTCCCTCTCTTTTACTGCTATACAGTTTTCTTTTCTTTTACATCCATGTGCTTTTTCTCTCTTTTACTCCTATACACTTTTTCTCTCTTTTTCTCCTATACACTTTTCCTCTGTCTTTTCTTTCATATTCTCCTATTCATAATTCTTTTTCACTTCCTTCACTATTTCTCTTTTTATATTTTTGTTTTTATTTTCTTCCCTGTGAACTATCATTTACTTTAACCTTTGTTTTCCCAATTTTTCTTTTTCCTTTCCTTTCTTTTTCCTATCTTTGTTCTTATTTTCTTACATCTTTCTGCTTTTTTATTCACTTCCTTTTTCTTTCTTTTAACCAGATCATTCTATTCTGCCTCACATCACTTTTTCATTTATATATTCTTTTATTCTTTATTTCCTTTCCCATTGTTTTATTTTATATTTGAATTGTTTCTTTCTTGAATTCTTTCATTAAACACTTCTTCATTCATTTTCCTTCCTATCTCACTGTTTTTTTTATATCTTCTTTTATTCTTTATTTCCTTTCCCATTGTTTTATTTTATATTTGAATTGTTTCTCTTTCTTGAATTCTTTCATTATGCCCTTTTCCTTCATCTGACTATTTTTTCCCTTCAGTTTTTTGCTTCTTCCTTTCATTATTATTTTTATATTTTTATTTTTTTTCAGATACTTTTTAATGATACTTGTCTCTTGAGGTGAAAGCTTCAGGCTTTGGGTGAATTACTCAGATGTGTTAAACACTGAATTGTTTACAAAGTGATCGGTGGAAGGGGGCGGCTTTAATTTTTAAAAAATGAATAAAAGATTTATGTCACTGTCTATAACGTATAGATATGTGTGTCCCAAACACAATAACTGTATGTTACTGCTTGAAGGCATATGTGTAACTGATGAAGTACATATCGGTTCATCTCTCATTTAATATGTGTATGCATATATGTCTGGAGTGATTAGAACAATGTGCAAAATACATGACTATCTTAGTCAACAAGCAGCTCACCTCTCTATAGATCCCATTCTTGCCCTTCCTCTCTTTCTCTCTCTCTCTCTCTCTCACAAATACATATATTGTGTGTGTGAAAATGTATTTTTGTGTGTAGGTATGTATATGTGTGTGTTTGTATATATATATATATATATATATATATATATATATATATATTTAGGCAGCATATCTTCATTCAAGCATGTTTGGTTGAATAATCTAGACATATTATGTCTATTCATTTTTATTTTAATCCTTTCAAATTCCCATATCAATTTCCTAGATTTGTTATTAAACTGATTAAGATGCCATAATTTTTCTCAATTACTTTTATTTTTTCCAAGTACTTTCAATCTCATCCAAGATCTTCCTCAGGGTGAATTACTAAGACGAAAATTTAATGTAATTGATAGTTGTGAATTCTTTTGTAAATGCGCATGAAACGCACACCATTATAGTCAATTTAAAAATCACTGTTAAGAATATGTAAGGGAGGTAACTTAATTTATATTTTTTATTATTAATGTTTTTAAATATTCAACCTGCAATTTTAAAAAAAAATATATTTTTCTTACAATTTGAATATCTCTTTTATAGGCATTTTAAAATATTGTTGCTATACTCATAATTAATCTTATTTAGTGATGATTACATTTTTTTACATAGAGCACAATATATATATATATATATATATATATATATATATATATATATATATATATATATATATATTGCCATATATCCCCCGCTTCACCTCAGTAATTCTGTTTGGTGCGTGCACTGTGTGTAAATAATACCTAGCTTTAGTGTATCATCTTGGGTTTGCCAAAGGAGAAATAAATGTCCATCTCAGCAGTGACTGTTGCCAGTTAGCTAATGATTACATTCTAAAGCATATGAAAGTTATAGTTGTAACTGATCATTGTATAACTTATGTTATTGAAAATAAAATTATATATATAGATATAGGTTATGAAAAGTTTTTCATGTGATATATTTCATATATAAGGACTTCATCATATTAAAGTGATGCTTACATTGATATAACTACCACATTTTAGTCCAATAAAGACATAAAGAATGAAATGTGTCACATGAAAGAATTTTCCAATTTGTCATTAATTTTACTAACATTGTTTTGGTATATAAAATTTATATTTTCTCCCATATATACATACATACATACATACATACATATATATATATATATATATATATATATATATATATATACATATATATATATATATATATATATATATATATATATATATATATATATATATATATATATATAAGAAATTTTTTTAATTATTCATCATATTGCTCTGTACAAATAAAATACATCAAGCTCTTTTTGTGGATCAATTTTAATATATTTATATTACTAGGATCCACTTGGATTATACACCCACGGAATTTATTTTACCTTTACCTCTAATAATTAAGGATGGATTATTTATATATAGATTGGTATGTCTGCTAAAATCAGAGTATCTGCATGCTCAAATTGTTATCTGCATGATCAAATTGTTCATATTGTTATTTTCTGATCCACAGCCTAGGATCAGCATTTTATCTGTGCACTCACTACTCTTTGTCCCAACTTTGTGCACACTTCATACAGAGTGGCCATGTTTGCACTGTAACAGCAGCAAGAAAACTGGCATGACTAAGTTCAGACTTTGGACATGTGACAATAGTAGTACCACTGATAAGCAACCAGGAGCAGAATGCAGTGTGACAAACCTAAAGATATATTATGGTGAAAGTTTGGATAGTTTTGACTTACTCTCATATATATATATATATATATATATATATATATATATATATATATATATATATATATAGTTAGATAATGAAATGTTTGATAATCCTTATGGATAATTCCAAGGAGGATGTAATCCAGAGCGGTTAATGTAAAAACAGAGTGAATATTAGTTAAATTAAAAAACAGACAAACTTAAGGGTCCATAGATTATATTTTATTTCCCCAAGAATGGGATTTTTTTCTGGTTCCTCAAATCACATTTCCAAGCATAAAAGAAAAAATCACACACACACACACACACACACACACACACACATATATATATATATATATATATATACATGGATACACATTGATTTTTCATATGTATGTGTGGATCTATGTATAGAGTGAGACAGAGAGACAGACAGACACATAAATAAATATATATTTCAAATATTATTATAGTGGATACTTCATATTTGAAACAGGCACTCCATTTTTATTTATTAATTAGTGTGTATTATGTCTATCAGCCCACCCATTCAAGAAAGCTTAGTAAAGAAAAATGCATTCCTGAATCCCCATTTGTTGTATCTTTTGTATAATATAATTACTAGCTTCAAGTAATTTGAGTCTTTCCTTGAAGTGAATGCTATATAGAATTTTATTATCAACTGCTAATATTTGTCCCATGTTAATAGTTTTATTTTAATTGTTTGTGATGTGATGATCGATATGTGCATGGATTGCACCAATCTTTCATAAATGAGAATGAGAAAGAAAGTAAAAATTATATACATTTTTTCTATTGGTCAAAATTTTAATAAATATAAAGCTGGATGTTTAAGAGATAATTTGTAAATTTTAGACATGGACCATGGAATATAATTATTAATTATTACTATAATAATACTCATTAATAATTATATACATAATTATTAATAATTATATTATATTCATATAATTAGTATTATTTGTCTATATTTCTGAGATGAGGTATTATGTACACTATTTACATTATTTAGACTATTGTCTTCATCTTTGTCGCCATATTTATTATGTTTCAGCCATTGTACGCTCGGGTCTTCTTCAGGTGGTTGCTAGGCCACAAAAATCTCCTGAGCCGACCAAACATAGAAATGAATATAATATGGGAACCAGTAATAAGGAGTGCCAGAGAAAAAGTGATAATAACAGCAAAAATTGAAATATGAGCTATGGTAAAAAAAAAAATGATAATAACAACAAAAATTGCAGTATGAGCTCTGGCACAGTGGATAAAGGTGTTGGTTAGATTCAGTGACAGGACCCAAAGAGTGTGAGTTCAATAACCGGTTAAGGCAGTGGAGAAATTGGAGAAGGGAATTAACTGATAACTGTCATCCATTAAACATGGCATGTGGAACTAGAACAGTCTACCCCAATGAGTAAAATAGGGTTCAGTTCAACATTCCAACAACCTGAAGAAGGCCAGAGCATACAATGGCTGAAATGTAATAAATATGACGACAAAGATGAGGACAATAATAGTCCAAATAATGTAAATAGTGTAATTAATATTATATTAATTAATAATTACATTATATTAATATAATTAATTAAAATTATATTAATTAATATTACATAATTAATTATTAATACTCATTAATAATTATTAATGAGTATAAACACAACAAGAATTTATGTAAATATTTATTTCCATAAAATAGAATATGTGGCAAGACCCAAAATGGAGGAAAGGAAAGGGCTGGTCATTTCCTTCCTATCATTTAACCTAATTCATTCGATAATTTTTATATCACCAAAACTTAACATTTGCACTTTTTAATTGGACAACAGCTACCATTATGCCACAATTTGTTCTTCAAAGTCCTAGCTAGCCTCATATGTACAATATTTCTGTGAGATGGAGAATGATGATAATAATAACAATATTTAAACATTATCCCAATGAATATTTACAAGGAACATAAAATTTAATTAAAAAGACAAAAGAAAAACTTATTTGTTAGTATTAGAACCCCCTCCCACCTAACAATCTAACTGTAGCAGAAATAACAGTTAATTTATGAGAAATTTATGTATTCATCCAAAATTTGCAAGTATACTATATACAAATCTGTTCTTTGGTGCCAAATATAAGGAAGCAGTCTTTATAGTTGGGATTTGCAAAAGTGTTCTTACAGATTGCGAATGCTATTAGGGAGATGTGATTAAATATACTTTAATGCTTAAAAAATGTATTCATTATTATTATTATTTAGGTAATAAGCATTATAACATAGCACAAATAGCTATATTGTGGAAAAAGGAATTTTCAACAATATATGCATCTTTTTACGTATTTATGGTTATTTTTTTTAACTTTTATCAAAAACGACATTCTTGTACATGTTGTTATGGATCATATTATACATTAATTACTAATTTGTTTTAATTAATAACTATTTGTGCTCAGTTGTTGACATTAATAGCTATCTGCT